TGAAACTGTTATTTAAATTGGCTCAATTAGCCAGGAGTTGAAGCTTTCAACAGTCTATTCCATATTTTTCATCCTATATTATCTTCTTTTCCTATTCAATTGCATGCATCGGTTTTCCTTATTTGTGATCACACAGATCACCAGTGGGAGATGAAGCTGCCACGCCAACAATGTCTGGTAACTACAGCAGCTGGTGAAGAGTAAGGCCAAGATATTTATTTTGTTCTCTTTTTGTGTAGTCTTGCAGCAAAAAAAATGCCAGCAGCCAAAACAGCATACCCAGCTGCTCACTGCAGACAATTGGCCAGATCAGCCTCGGAGCTAATGATTAGCTGAATCCACCTTGAGATTCCCTGAGCATTTCCTCCGATTTTAAAACGTTTGGGTTAACAGAACATATAAAAGGGACACTTATACAGCCACGTTTAGTGTGGATAGCACTTAGAAAGCATTCATACAGGGAATGCCATTCTAACAGCCATTCATATGCAGTTAGTTCCTGCAGAAATAGTAACTAGAACCATATTGTGGACAGTGCCCAAAGCTACTCCTTCTCTGGTTTTTGTAGCTGCTTTGCTTGTAAGAAAATGCTTCAAGCTACAAAGATATTTTTCAAATGCTGAACAATGTGCCTCCAAATAACATTTAAGTGTTTTTCCAGTCAGCAAGACAGAAGTCGTTAAGTGTAAATTAAAGACATTCAAGGACGTTGGTCAGATTTACCGTCTGACATTCAACATGTATTCCAATTACAGGTGACAAAAATATATCAACACCCCCCGCCCACCCAGAAAACAAATACTTCCCCTCCACCTTTGCAGCAGTCTAAATGCAACTATAACCAACCTTATATGTAGGGGCAAAGGCTTGCTTGGTTTCTTGAGGCCTGATCATTCAGAAGGCCATTTTCTTTGCAGTCTCACACTTTGAGGGGCCTACAAGACGTTCAAGCTTAAAATAGAAATCAGAGCGAGCCATAGTGTTCTCAGCCAGTCTACCCTGTGCCTTCAGCATTAACAACTTGGGTTTTGTTTCAAGATGGTGACCATCTTAGCATGTAAGAGAACACCAAATGTAGCAAGACCCCTTCAGAGTCAATTTTCAAGAACAAAATCTGCCTTACAACCGAGGTTGCCATTAGTGTCACTGGTTTACCTCATGGTCACGTCACGTGTCAGTGGTTTAATTCAGCGACTGGAAGGCACCATGTGCTCGTTCTAGTTAGAACACACTGGAGCAGACTCAATTTAATCTAATCAGAACGCTCCAGCATGCTGCAGGCTCTCACATATTCAGCATCCATGTTTCAAACTGGGGCCAGGGTGCTTTAACTAAAGCTTGTCGAACAACACCCCCTCCCTGCTCCAGCATGTGTATAGGTGGCCCTGAGAGCCTAGGGCTAAATACAAATACCCCCCTGGTTAATCCATAAAATCATAGAAAATTGTAAAGCACCTCAGAAGGTCATCTAGTCCAACCCCTTGCTCAAACCAGGACCATCCTCACCTAGACCATCCCAGGCAAGGCTTTGTCTAGCCAAGGTCTTAAAAACCTCCAAGGATGGAGATTCCCCCACCTTTCTGGGTAACCCGTTCCAGTGCTGGACTACCCTTTACTAATGAAAACGTTTTTCCTAACATCCAACCTAAGCTTCCCTTGCTGCAACTGGAGACCGTTACTCCTTGTTCTGTCATCTGCCACCACTGAGAACAGTTTAGCTCTGTCCTCTTTGTAACCAACTGCCTGAAAGGTAAATCCCCCTCAGTCTTTTCTTCTTCAGACTAAACAAACCCAGTTCCCTCAGCCTCTCCTCATTAAGTCCCGTTCCCCAGCCCTCTAACCACTTCTGTTGCCCTCTGCTGGACTCTCTTCAATCTGTCCACATCCTTTCAGTAGTGGGGGACCCCCAAACTGGACACCATACTCCAGATATGGCCTCACCAGTGCTGAAACTGCTTAGGGGGGAGGAGCACCCAAACTGGCATGTGTTACACCTGAACCTTACAGCCATCACTTCATCCTTTCGTAGTTGTCAGGGGCTGGAAGCGGTCTTACAGATCGTCGGGTCCAGCCCCCCCGCACCTGGGCAGGAAAGACGGTTGGGGTCAGCGAGCTGGGACGGTTCGGAGCCAAAGCACCCACACGGAGACTTCTCCAGTATTGCGCAGGGGACAACGGGGGCAGAGCCCTCCAGCTGGATTCAAAGCAGGCATCCATTTGTGGCCTACCACCTGGCAGATTGGGCTCCCACGGCTGTGGAAGGGCCCAGAAGGGGAATCATAGAAAGTGGGGGTAGAAGCGACCTCAGATCTCATCTCGTCCAACTGCTCAAAGCAGGACCAGCCCCAACCACGGCTTTGTCCAGCCAGATCTTAAAACCCTCCAAGGAGGGAGGTCCCACCACTTCTCTGGGCAGCCCCTTCCAGCCAGGTTTTTGAATCCCCAAGGCTTGACTATGCGCTCCTACGGAGGGGGCCACCCGTCCGGCCTTCGCCGCATTTTAAGGCACCCTTCCTGGCCCACCCACGCCCAAAGGGTGCGCTGCAGCCTGGGCACAGCCCGGCTCCCCCGCGCCTTCACTGCCGTCCCCTCCGCGCCCGCGCTCCAGGCGGGGGCAGCCTGGGGCCACTCACCCCCCCCCGGTCCGGCCCGACCCGCCCCAGCTCGGCGTTTTGCCAACGGGACTTTTCTGCAGAGCCCGCGATCTCCCCCCACACACCTGCCCGCCCGCGGGGGGGCGGCCGCGCTCCCTCCCCCGCGACTGACGGGGCCCGGCGGGGAGGGGGCCCCTCTACCCCACCCCCCGGCCACAACATGGAGCCGGAGAGGGAGGCCGAGGCGCGGAGGAGAGAAGAGGCCCCGGTCCCGGCCCCCTCCCGCCGCACAAAGCGCCGGGCCGGGCCGCGCCCGGGCGGGGCTCCGCACTTCC